GCAGGTGCCCGCGGCGTTAGCGGCGGCAAGGTGGGAGGGCAGCCAAAGGTGTAGGCACGGGCAGTGTCTCGGCAGGCAGGGCTGCCCGGCGGTGGGGCCCAGCTGCCGCCCCAGCTGGGGCTGGGCTGCCCGCGGTGGCAGGGGCGGCGTGCCCGACAGCCCCAGCAGGAACTTGGTGCTATTTCTAACGTGTCTTATTGCTGCTCATGGATTTTTCCTTTTATATCAGTTTTATTGCCTGTTAAGGTGAAATTTGTATCAAATGGGAAACCATCCCCCCCCGCAAGGCTCTTAACCCCCTTTCCCACCCGCAGGTTTCCTGGGCTGTTCCCAGTTTGATTTTTAACTTATTTGCTGCTGACAGGATGGTGCTTGGCCCCGTGCCCCCTCTCCAACTGCCCGGGAACAGAGCTGGGACTTGGCACGGTTGGGCTCCGTCCCCTCATCTAACACCCTCGTCCCCTTCCCTGCCCCCCCCACGGGTCCCCAAACCCCCCTGCTCCCTGCTCTCTGCTGGGACAGGCTGCCCGCAGCCAGGCAGTGCCTCCCTGCACGGCGTCCCTCACCCTACACCCTGCAACAGCTCCATCTGAATAAATTTCACCTTAACCTCAACCGGGACCCAGTTCCCCTTTTGCAGCCGCGATGGTTTGGCAAAGACCTGCGGGGGGAGGCTGGGGTGTTCCCCGTGCGCTACCCTCCAGCTCACACCCCTGCCAGCAGCACGTCTGTCTTTAATTCAGGGGGTGCTCGCCTGCACCCCCCGGCCCGCCGGGGAAACCCTGAGGATGGTGCTATGTTAGAGGAGGTTCCTGCTCGCCTACGCTCGCTCTCAAAGGCTTCGTGAAAGCGATGTCAGCTCCCGGGGGTCCGCAGCCCCTGCCTGCCCCCAGCCCCAGGGCCGAGCGGGGATGTGCCCCCCATTGCCTCGGGGCCTGGGGGGCTGCGGGCTGCCGGGCAGGCTTTGTGGCGCCCATACGTACCGCTGCTCTCTGTGTATATCTGTATACAGCGAATGTATATGTGTACCAATGCGGGGGGGTCTGTGATATTAAAGCTGCGCTGATGGGGAGATGCCACGCTTCTTGGCGTGCCGGCGGAGATGCCCCTGGGGTTTGGGGCCAGCTCTTGAGCCAAGCGTGCCCCCTGCCCACCCCAGCTGGGCTGCCCTTCCCAGCTGCTCCTGGCCAGCAGCGCCGGCTGGGGGTCCTCACCCCCTGGGGACCCCAGTGCCCCATCCCCATGCCCGGCGCGTGCCCGGCTGACGCAAGCCAGGCCACGAACCCCCAGCCAGACCGTGACGTGTCGGCACGCGGGGCTGCGGTGCTGCGTGATGCACTGGGTGAATCAGCACCGCCGGCTAATTTTGGCTGCTCTGACAACCCGGGGGGCGAGTTCCTGGCTGACCCCGGGAGGAGGAACAGAGCCGGTGTTATTCCCTCTCCCTGCCACTGCCAGGGAGGCTGTGAGGCAGCTGGCGTGGGATGGGTCACCCTGTGGCCACGGGGGCGGGCAAGACCCCCAGCAGTCTGAGCCCCAGCCCCAGACACCCTGCTCCTCGCCCTGGCCGGCCCTCTGAGCTGAGCACCTACCAACTCATCTCACGCCGGTGCCTGCCTGGCCTGAGAGCCCCCGGGTGCTCCCACAGCCACTAAGGGGGGATCTCTGGGGCAAAAACCTTCCCCACTGCAGGCAGCTGCCGGAGGGGCTGGGCCAGGCTGGACTGGTGCAGGTGGGCTGCAAACCAGTGGCATCCCAGTTAGACAGGGTGAAGGGGGCTGCAAACCAGTAGCATCTCAGCTAGATGGGGTGAAGGTGGGCGGTAGCCAGCGACATCGCGGTTGGACCGGGTGAAGGTGGGCTGTAGCCAGTGGCATCCCAGTTAGACAGGGTGAAGGGGGCTGCAAACCAGTAGCATCTCAGCTAGATGGGGTGAAGGTGGGCGGTAGCCAGCGACATCGCGGTTGGACCGGGTGAAGGTGGGCTGTAGCCAGTGGCATCCCAGTTAGACAGGGTGAAGGGGGCTGCAAACCAGTAGCATCTCAGCTAGATGGGGTGAAGGTGGGCGGTAGCCAGCGACATCGCGGTTGGACCGGGTGAAGGTGGGCTGTAGCCAGTGGCATCCCAGTTAGACAGGGTGAAGGGGGCTGCAAACCAGTAGCATCTCAGCTAGATGGGGTGAAGGTGGGCGGTAGCCAGCGACATCGCGGTTGGACCGGGTGAAGGTGGGCTGTAGCCAGTGGCATCCCAGTTAGACAGGGTGAAGGGGGCTGCAAACCAGTAGCATCTCAGCTAGATGGGGTGAAGGTGGGCGGTAGCCAGCGACATCGCGGTTGGACCGGGTGAAGGTGGGCTGCAAACCAGTGCTGTCCCAGTTGGACTGGGTGAAGGTAAGCTGCAAACCGGTGGTGTCCTGGTTGGACTGGATGAAGGTGGGCTGCAAACCGGTGGTGTCCTGGTTGAACTGGTGCAGCTGGCTGCAAACCAGTGGCCCAAGCAGTGCTCCGGGGTTGGCACGGCAGGGAGGTGATGTGTCTCCAGTGATGCCCCCCAGCTGGCCAGGGCCAGGGAGTCCATCAGGACAGCAGCGCCAAACCGGCACCGGGAGACGCCTGGGAGCCTCGTGCGGCACAGCGCCAGGGAGGCTGGCACTCGCTGCCAGTGCCGCGGCTGCCGGCCAGCAGCGATATGCACGTGCGTTTTCTCCCTTCCTTGAGTGATTAACCAGGGCTGACAGGAGCAGGAAGGCTCAATTAGATGGATAAAAACCATCTCGTGAGTCGGACGTGAAATAATTACGCCTGAGCCGCCCTGGGTTCCCGGAATCCCCTCCAAACGCAGCGGATGGAGCTGAGGGGGCAAACACCCACCCACAACCCAGGATGATTTCATCTGCTATTAGGCAAAATCCCCCCCCCCGCCGCGTGTCGCCGTCACCCCTCCGCGGGTCGGAGGTGGAGCTGGGGGCAGGATAAGAGCCGGGGCTCAGCGGGGAGCGGGGCAAACCCCCAGGTTGTGGTCCCCGCACCCCAGGACCATTGCCTGCACATCGGGGGGACGAGGACCTGCTGGAAATGGTGAGGCTGCGCCCTTCGGTGGTGCTTTCCAGGGGGGGTTTAGCTGGGAAGCGGTTGCAGGGGATTGGATGCTTTTCATTACTCTCTTCCCAGCTAGTTAAACCACCTCCGGCTGCCTGGGCCGGTACTTCCCGAAGGGTTTTACCACGGAGATGGGTTGCAGGAGGCTGGATGCCTTTCACTGCCCTCCTTCCAGCTGGGCAAACCCCACTGGGTGACTGATTTGGGGGAGAGGCAGCCATACAGCAGGATTTGTGTGGTGGTGCCTCCGTATTCGCGCTGATCCCCACCCCACGGCACAGCACCCCGCATCCCCTGAGGCCCTCCTGGCACCAGGGCAGGGGCCGGGGCGGAGGAAGATGCTGAGGGTCGGCACAGCTCAGTGCATGTGGCCGGACTCATGCCCTTGTCACTCCGTTGCCACCGACCTGCTGTGTATTTTAGGCCAAGTGGCTCATGTCCCTCTCGGTGGGGTGGCTTTTGTCCCAGAGAGCCCAGCAGCCTCGTGGGGGGACAGCATCCGCCGGGGAAGGCGTGGGAGGAGGAAAGCCCCACAGCCTGCCTGGCCCCGAAACCCCGGGCATGTCACGCTTCCCCGGCCAAAGGGCAGGTCTGGGCTGGGGAGCAGCCACGGTCCCCCCGCTGCCACCCCCCTGGGGTGGGAATGTCCCTTCCCCTGGGCAGTAAAGGGCTGGAGGGTGTGAAATGGAGGGGGCAGCCAGCGTCTGGCCAGGGGCTGTGGGAAAGGATGGGGACACCCAGCTGATCTGCTTCCCACATCCCCTTCAGCCTCCCCAAAACTCCCCCCGCAATGCAAAAAGGTTAAAATCAGGGTGGAAAACAGAAGGCTCCCCAAAAGGGAGGTGAGCCCCCCTGCCAGGCATGGTCAGCTGGGACATGTCCTGCCTGGGGGGCCACGGGGCTGTGGCAGCCTGCCGCAGAGCGATGCTCAGCGCCGGCTGCGTGCTCCCCGCAGGCGCTCCTAGCCGCGCTGCGCTGCAGGATGCTGCTTGCCTTCCTGGTGGTCCTCGGGGCGCCGGCGGGAGCCTGGAAGGGGCCAAGCCAGGAGCGGCTCCTGCTGGCCCCCGGAGCCGGGGACGGAGGCAAGCTGACAAGGCAGGAAACCACCGGCACTAACGAGATGCTGCTGGGTCTCCCCGAAATGAGGAGGAGCGACCGTGGCTCTGGGGAAGGGTCTCACCCGGACAAAGCCAGCCTGCTGCTGCTAGAGGAGTCAGCAAGAAAAGCGTTGCTCTGGCCAACGAGCCCAGCCGCCAAGAGACCTGCTGCTGGGAAAAAGGTGCGAAAGGTGTCCCTGTCACTTGATGTCCCCACCCAAGTACTGAAAATATTGCTCGACCTGGCCAGAGAGAAGGAGCTGCAGGCCAAGGCGGCTGCCAACACGGAGCTGATGGCCCGCCTGGGGCGCAGGAAATAAACCTCCCCGGCTGGGGCACGGCTCCTCCGGAGGTGACACCGGTGTGACCGCAGGGGACCATGGACACAGCGCCTCGTCCCCCTGGTCCCGGCGCCCATGGCACAAGCAGCAGCCACGGGAGGATTTGGTTTAATAACTGTCACCTCGGCATCACTGGAGAAGATACAGCTGGGTTTGCCTTCGCCGGGGCCAGCCCCGGAGCGTGGAGGCGTCCCAGCCCTGGGCGCCACAGGGGTTTCTGTGCACTGCTTCACTCCTCGCTCACCCGCTGCTGGGATGTCTCCAGAGGGGCCGCATCCAGCCAGGCAGGCTTTCCCGTGTGCCGCCTCTCTCCGGATGGCTGCAGCACACAAAAATCCTCCCCGAAGCTCAGCTCAGCCTGGAAACTGGTGGTGGCGAGTGTGTGCAATAAAAAGTGGCATTGAACACGACTTGTTGTGGTTTATACTGGTCTTGCATCCCTCTCCACCCCGTTTTGTGTTCCCTCTCCCCAGAGCTGCAGTGGGTCACGTCCCAGGCTGGGGAACAAAGCTCATTAAGCCCCAAATGAGGGGTGTCACCCCTTGCATTGACAGCGGGGCCGGCCCCTGGCCCAGGGTGCCCGCAGCAGCTCTGGGCCAACGGGGGCGGCG